GAAAACATGTAAAAATATAGATTTACATATAAATTAAAGACATAGTTCTTAATACTCAAGATGATTCAATAAGTTTAATTTGAATTGAATTGCAGTATTTTTGAAATCTCCATCTTGAATTTGGGAGAATTAGAGATAGAGTATCAAAGCTTAGTAGCTGAAGACTTTATTTTCTTGTTTTTCCTGCAGAAAAAAAACACAAGTTCTTCACAGAATACTGTGAAATTGATACTATAGTAACATTAATTCAAATATCATCTAAATTTCTGATATTTCTATATATATCTTCAGCTGCTTTTTGAGATAATACTATATGTGGGCTCAGTTTCCGAATGTGAATTTTACTAGAAAATTAAGTAGATAATCAAATAGATGAGTAATTATTGTTGTTCTTCCCTGAATTGGTGAATAACAACTGCTGGACGTATCTTTTATAGCTTCAAGATAGAAGCAACTCTGAAATTGAATTGTATAAGACTCTAGCCAACAAATAAGTTTTAGCTATATTTAATCTGTAAAGAGAAATTCTCTTTCTGTATTATCTTGTGTAACATTTTGAATTACAGAATTTAGCGTCCTTCTCCGTTTTTTAGAAGAGCTCAGGTAACCATTAGAAATCTACTTTTCAGAGGTGGATTTCACAAGCAGTTTGTGGTTGGAATTATGACACTGACATATTTCTATGATAACCTGCTAGGAACTGCATGCGTGCTGCCACACTGGAAAGCAGTCCATTAGTGTTTGAATTGGTGCACTTTGGGACTTCATAAATTCTGTTTCCATCCTTAATTATAGAAAATACATGGGGGGAAGTTGCATAGCCCCTTCTTCATTCATTTCATTGTCAACATTCATATAAAATAATGCCACTCCATGCTGAGTTTGCTTGAATTGTCATATTTTATTTGCTAATGACTTTTCAAGTTGACAGTGACCTTGAAGTTGGTATTGTCAACACTCCTTGATATAAAGAGAGTGTGATTTTGAGCTGAGTGCATCAATTTCTTCTTCATTTTCTGTCTGTATTTTTAAAAGCGTTTTAAATTAGGTTTCTGATTGAGCCCTTACCTGAGTACTGCAGAAGTTAGTAGTTAAGTTGTCAACTCACATGGTTTAAATGCAATGAACTTTAGTGTATACATAGGAAAAGGATTTAGCTAATGTCTTTGAATGGTCTGTGTGTATGTATATGTATAATCTTTCCTTCTACTGGATTACCTTAAGAATTGTTAAGCAGTTGAACCACAAAAATCACAACAATATAAATTAACCTGAAGGAAGCTTCTTGGACATAGTTCTGCTCAAGGTCCTGAAATGCTGTGTTAAAAGGATTAATATGAAACCATAACATGTATTTTTTAGGCTATAAAAATGCGATGTAAAAGATGATTTATCAGAATATTCTGTTTTAAAATATTGATTTTTTTTACAAATATATAAGCTATAGTAAATCAATGTACTAGATATACTTCCTGAAATATATAAAATATCTAACATATCTAATATGGCTATTATATAAGAACAAAGTTCTACATTTGTATACTTCACTGCTTATTATGCCTAAAGTCTGCCGAATTATGAAATTCTGCTTCATTTCTTAGAAAAAATAGAGTACAACACAAATGAGAAAGTTTGCTCTTCCTACCATCAAAACTGTATGTATACTTTAAAACCCATGGCTCTATTAGGTAATTCCATTTGAAAGACAGCCCAGAACACTTACTTTACCAGGAGAAATTGCTGTGTGGCTTAGCATCCTTTCTTTTCCAGAAGCGCTATAGGGGGCAGCAGTCTTTGGAGTTGCCACCGACCCAAAGGCACAGGGTGCTTTTGGCTGCTCTAGTGGATGCCGTGTTTCTTCCCCTACTCCTCTATACCATACACTGCTCTGCCTGCCATGTCAGGCTGCGCCATTTTTCTGTGCTATTCTGCGAGGTGTTAGAACATTTGTCTTTACACCCTCAGACTCAAAGCCTTTGGATGATCTGACTGCCTCATTTCCTTCTGTGTTATACTGAGGGATGCCAAAGCAGTGTACACCTGATGTGTTGTAGAAATTGGTGGGAGAGCTCTTTCAATTTTTATTCATAGCTCTGTTTCTTCTAGGATTGACAAGGGTCTGGGCTTAGGAATCATGTATCAACTAGACGACAATAATAATAATAATATCTTATTTTGATATAGTGCTTTATAGTGTTGTAGCTTCATATGTTAAAGCTGAATGTCCATAGTGAAGAGGGGAAAATATCGCTCTGCTGTTTTTGTTATAATTCACTAGAAAGGATCCTCATATAAATAATCTAAACACATTGAGACCACTTACAGTGCTGGAAATATTCCTAGTGGAAATAAAGATTAATGCTTTTTATTTATATAGCAGATTTTCCTGGGCTTCGTTGGATTGTAGGTACTAAAGAGAGTCATAATTATGTTAATAACTCAAATGTATGTATGTTATCTCCTCCTATTGATGTACAGGACCTCCAGCCTTTGGCCAAGTTCCCCTTCCCAGGTGTTTCTAGAATTCCTCAGGGGCCATCTCAGCCATCCTCCTGAACAAGTCTGTCTCCACTGAGACAGCTACTGCTCCACCAGGCACTTCAGTCTCTGCCAGATGGTGCTCTCTGCTGGGAATTTCCACCTATGTGCTTGATCACAGCTAAAGCTGTGTGATGAGCTGGGGTGGAGTGAGGGGGGTAATGCTCTTCTTTCTTTGTCTTATACTGTATTAGATGGGTCTAAAAGTAGCGCTAAATTTTACCAGTGTTTTAATGAAACAGGTCTTTTAGATTTTTATCATAACACCTTTGCACTCTATAGGACACAGGCTGACATCCAGTGGGGACTGTCTATTAGGAGGCAGATTCAGTCAACAGAAAATACTTGGCTATTAGTATTGCCACGCTTTTGACACTAAGATTTTCTCACTGGGTGAGGGTCATCATGATTAGCTGCTTCTCGTAGGGTAAGTTTTCACATTCACCTTCTGCTTGATTTGCTCTGTTAGTTCACCAGACATTCCCAAACATGTCTAAATCTTACTTGGAATAGCTGGTAACTCCTTGTTTCTCCATTCTCAGCTCCAGCATCCTCCACTACCCCAAGCAAGGGAATTTACTAAAGTCAAAGCAGGGGGAAGCTTTAGAAACATTATAAATCAATTTCTCTATGAGATTGCATCTATGAAAAAAGATTAAATGAAGGTCCCATTTCACTTCACGCAAACATCAAAGTTCTGTCAGAGGTTGTGTTGGCCCCTGTTTGATTCTTTAAGATCAGGTGGGTGTAGAATGGAAAGTTTAGTTTTATTGTGTTTGTATTTTATAATATCTAAGGGCTAGTTGTTGGGTGGTAAGCTATAGATAGTAAAAGGCATTTTCCCATAGTAGGGAATTTTAGTGCTGTACCAGCTTCTTTTTGGATTTTGTGCATCCCAAAGCTTTCTGGAGCAGTGTCTCTCTAACTAGAGTCTGGCCTCATTAGGGGTCAGTGGCAGTGCTTCCAATTTGTTTTCAATCATTCATACCAAGAATAGAGTGGGTATTAGTGTTCTCATTAATCACTTTATTTAATGGCACTAGTGCAAATCTCCAAGCTTGTTAGTAGTTTTGAGAATTGCTCCCTACTCACTACCCGAGAGTCCATCCTTATCTCCAATTTCTGCCTTTCTGGGGACATTAACAGGGTTCAGTTGAGGGTTTCTTTTTTTTTTTTTGTATGCAGTGAGGTCTTTTTCTGGTTCTTGTCTCTGCTGTGCGATATTTTCCAGAAATTCCTTGAAGTTTTGGAATGTGAATGATACTGCCTCTTAGTTTGTAGCACTGATAATTTGTGTCTATTTTATACACTTCCTTTGAAATTTTGGTGGGAGTGGGGCAGATGTGGAGTTGATTCAACACTTTAAACTGGAACTATGCTTTTTAATTACTAATATTACTATTTATTTTATTAATATTATTTTAATGGTAATTGAGAGAGATTGTTTCTACTGTTCTAGAATAGTAATAGTCACCTAGAACAACTGATACACTGTTTTATGTAGTTGAACTATAAATTTATGTTATGGGGATTTTATTCAGAATTGTTTTAATAATCCAAGCTTATTTTAAAACTATATTTTTACAAATGTGAATTAAAAAATAAGTTAAAGAGACTAGAGTTTACCTTTTACTATCAGTTAAAAAATGAGATTTTAAAAAAGAATTTTAAACAATTCTTAAATGATTGCTCAATTTAGAATCTATTAGGTCAACAGAAGAGAATTCCTGTAAGAGGCTACTGTTCTTGTATTAGACTTTATTGTTTTATTAGCTTCCAATGAAGCCAGGTGCTTTAACTTGTCTAAAGTAAACGTTTTAATGGGTCATGCTTAATTTTGACATTTGTTATAGTGAATGTAAAGGAAAGATGATTGTTGATTTCTCATGTCACAAAAATTTCTTTGTCATGAAAGGTTGATCCTGACCTCTAGCATTAACAATAAAATGAATTGGGGGTAGTTTTTAATTTATTGTTATGTATTTCTTACTCTTTAAAAATGTTACATGAATATGTTATAGTTTTAAATAGCAGGTAATTAGAAGTTATCTAGTATTTGCTGGTGATGTTTGAATTTGAATTTAATTTCTATTTAATTAAGCCATGGCTTTCCCATTCCCTAAATCATACAGTTCTGCCTCCCTCCCTTTTGTAAATGATGAGGAGCTTATTTTCGTTGCCCTTAAGGTGTTAGATCGCTGAATTACTGCCAAGAGCAAAGCTGTTCATATTGGTGGAGGATATGCTGGAACTACAGGCACTTCCTGGGAATCTTGGCCGACTCAGGAGTGGGATGGGGCACAGCGGTGATGACTTAGCTTGAGATATATCAGGGAAGACTAGCATTTTCCAGTGGAACCTCCTTGACTAAGGCTATCCCTATTTCAGACTTAAGTAAAGTTAAACATTGTTTCATGACTTATTTAAACTATGTCTCATCTTCACTTTTTTTTTTTTTTCAGGATTTTTCCAATGCAACTTTGAAATACAAGGGGATACATTTTGGCAACTCTTTGGGAAGACTAGAGTTACCCATAAAGTCAGGGCCTGGTCCTGGACAGTATGATATAGTCCAGTAAGTAAAAAAGAATAGTATACCTTTAATGTAGTTCTTGACTATAAAGTATTCTAATAATTTAGACTAGGTTATGCTGTTATGAAGAAAAAATCAGTATGAAAAACTCCAAGAGGAATTTTATTTTGGAGTAACCTGTATGAAAACTGTTGCTTTTTTTGTGAGCCAGATCCTGTGCGACCTGCTTCACGTGTATTACCTATTTAATTTTCGCAAGTTCCTGTGTAATTACTATTGTTATAGCTATTTTATCAGTGAAAATGCAAGGGTCAAAGAAGATAACATATTCAAGATCGTGTGGCTCTTAAGTGGCAAAGTTAGACTTTAACTGAGGCTGTTCGATTATACAGCCCATGTATAAAGTACTAAAATGTACTGTCTTTGATTATACAATAGACAAAAGATCAGAGAAAATATAAAACAGGGTGACCCAGGATTCTCCATCTTGTCCCTGGCTCTGGTATCCATTTTTCTGACTACAGGATGGATTTAGAAGGCATTCTCAGTTAGTGTGTGTCAGAACTATAACATTAGGTTGGAGGTAATATTTATGAAGTTTAACTAGGAAATATATTTCTGGCATAATAACTCTTCTATCTTTATTTTCTCCTTCTCCTACAGTAAAGCCTTAGACATGAATCCATGAAAGGCAAAATTGAGTAACAAATACCATGTTGTCCTCAAGATCTACCACTGCTTTTCATGATTAATTTTTTTTTTAAAAGATTTTATTTTTTCCTTTTTCTCCCCAAAGCCCCCCAGTACATAGTTGTGTATTCTTCGTTGTGGGTTCTTCTAGTTGTGGCATGTGGGACGCTGCCTCAGCGTGGTTTGATGAGCAGTGCCATGTCCGTGCCCAGGATTCGAACTAACGAAACACTGGGCCACCAGCTGCGGAGTGCGCGAACTTAACCACTCGGCCACGGGGCCAGCCCCATGATTAATTTTTTTTTTAACAGGGTCCAGCTTATCTGCCTGATTCTCTCTCATAGGATGAGTTTTCTTGTGAGAAGACCCACAGTGATTACCTATCCAGTTAGTTTGCTAGACAGATCCAGACACCTCTGTACACCAGCAGTGACATAGCTTAGGCTCTTGCTTGCTGCTTGCTGCTGTTCATTTGTTGAACATTTCAATTCGTGCTTGTGTGGGGTACTAAATTTAGTAACTGAAAATGAAAAGAATAAAACGTGGTCCTTGTTTGGGGGAATTTATACTCTATTCTAGAGTCCTTTTCATTTTTTCACTTCCCTAATATGGGAGATACACCTTGAATTTTTATTCTTTTATTACTTACACTAGAACTTTAACATGTGGATTTAGCTCAATGGGATCTAAAACAGTATCTTTGTCTTTCTTATGAACAGAACAAAGTCTATCAAATGCTCTAACTCTGCTCATCCCCTTGGCGTATGTTATTTAGTATTCTCATCTTATCCTTTTCTTCTTTTAGTTTGGCTGCTTTGCTTATCTGTCAGTTTGTCTCTGTCTATCTGCCTGTCTGCCTGCCTGTCGGTTTTATTGAGGTTTGATTAACATAAAGCAAAATTAACCTTTTTTAAGGCATATAGCTCTGTGATGATTGTTTTCCATCCCTTCCACTGCACTTCTGACGAAGTACCTCGAGCATTACCAAGACTCCATCTAATCGTGTTGCTCTGATTTTGCCTGGTAGTGTTTTCCTAACAGTACTGTGTACTTCTCCAACCCTGTCGCACTCCCATTCTCCTCCTATTTTTTTAATATTACTTTCTCCTTGATCTTTATTGTTTCTCTTGTTTCTTCTCTTCCTCTCCTTGTATTTTCACTTTTGCCTGTAGGAATGTGTCCATAGAGATGGCATCCCAGACTGCTTCACTCTGTCAGCATCGCCGGAATTTGTCCGCTCTTTGGTTTTGGTGCCTTCACTGTACCTTTTATTTGGAGTTGTCTCGGTTCTGTCTGGCAGTTAACATTTTCTACCATTTTTTTTTTGACTTTTTATCTTATTGGTTGAGTCAGAATTATTCTGGGAGTTTTGCTGTGGTATAAAAGTGCAGGTACTTGGCCACTGTAAATGGAAAATGCAGCTTTCAGGTCACTTTTTGGGAAAGACGCAGACCTAAATGATACGTGCCCCTTCTGATATCGCAAATATAAATTTGTTATCCATTAAACTATTTGGGGTTTTGAAAACATGTTCATTTGTTGAATTTTATGTGAAAAAAAATCAGTGAAGTCAGCATTTAACAGTGAAGTAAGATATTAAATGCATATTTAAATCGTAGCATTGTCAAACAAAGAAAATAATAGCAATTATGTAACAAGCATTTGTTTTCCTGTTTTTTTATTATCTGTTTTTTAATCTGCTTATGTTCATTAAAAATGTTTAATATGAGATTTTTTTGAAATTCTGTTTAAGGAATAGAAAAAATAGTATAGTCAGCATAACCTATTTAAATATAATTCTTGTAATAATGATAGCTAACAGTTATTATGTACTTTTTATGGGCCATGTGTGGCACTAAACACTTCACATATATTGTCTACATTAATCATTACAACCTGGAGAATTGGTTATTACTATTTCCAATCAGGTGAAGAATCTAATCTGAAGCTTAGAGAAGTTGGGTGATTTGTGTAAGGTCCCACAGGAGGTAGCAATGCTAGGATTCATGTCAGGTTGCCTGACTCCAAAGCTTGCACTTTCTTTTTTTTGAGGAAGATTAGCCCTGAGCTAACATCTGCTGCCAATCCTCCTCTTTTTGCTGAGGATGACTTGCCCTGAGCTAATATCCGTGCCCATCTTCCTCTACTTTATATGTGGGACACCTACCACAGCGTGGCTTGACAAGTGGTGCCATGTCTGCACCCAGGATCCGAACAGGCGAACCCCAGGCCCCTGAAGCGGAATGTGTGAACTTAACTACTCTGCCACCTGACTGGCCCCCAAAGCTTGCACTCTTAATCACTGTTTATTTTCTTATTTTCGTGAGGTCATGTAAATATCAATGAAAATAAGCTTCTTTTTCATTTTCAAAGATCTTTCTTTATGCCCTTTTACTGATTGTTTTATGATATAAATAGCATAGGACTATTTTCCTCTTATTTTGGTAATAGTTGAAATACCAAGGGATTTGAAATTTAAAAGGCTTTTTATGGTAAACGGAATACACAGGAAACTTTTTTTTTTTTGAGGAAGATTAGCCCTGAGCTAACATCTGCTGCCAATCCTTCTCTTTTTTGCTGAGGAAGACTGAGCTGACATCTGTGCCCATCTTCCTCTGTTTTATGTGTGGGACTCCTACCACAGCATGGCTTGACAAGCAATGCATAGGTCCACACCAGCAAACCCCAGGCCGCTGAAGTAGAACGTGCGAAACTGCTGTACCATCGGGCCGGCCCCAGAGTAGACAGGAAACATTTTTTTGGTGGCTTTTTGTTTAAACTCATGACATAAATCCAACATCCTGTTTTCTTTTTTGCTGTCCTTATTAGAATAGATTTGTTATAGTTCTCTGAATTGGAAAATGCAGAACTAAACAACATAAATGAATGCATTTTACAAAGTTTAGAATATTTTGGTTTGACATACCCAGATGATCGTATTATTGCATATTTTTTAAGCAGGAAATGGTGTAAAAATATTCTTTGCTTATATAAACATTTATATATTTGAATCCTTGAGAGTTCCTCAATTTCTTTCTGAATTTTCTAAAGGAAAAAGACACCACATTATGAAAATATTAACATCAAGAGAGATCAACAGCAAAATTATTGCTTATCTCTCCCACGACTTTATGAAGTAATAATATTGCAGGAGGAAAAAAAGGTAAGTTGAAAAGTAGCTATTTCATCTACATTCTAGAGGTTAAGCTCATTGACTCATATCACAAGGTTAGAGTACTCTTAGATCTACTGTGACTGGTGGCTAATTGTCACTCAACGAATATGGTGGAAGCAGCAGTACTTCAAACCTCGATTGAGTGATGACTGTCTCTGCTAACACCTCTTGTGATAAAGGGCTCACTAACCCTAAGGTTTCTTGTTTCAGTAGTGGACAACTCTGTTTCTTACAATTCCCTTCTTAAACTGACCAAAATGTACCTGCCTGCTGTCTACTTATTCTCCTTTTTCCTATCCCTTTTTTAATCTTTTCAATCCCTTTTTTAATCTTTTCTAATAATGATAAATGTTGTAAATATCTTTGACTATTCTCATTATTTAACTTCAAGATAACTTATTTTCCTTTGACATTATCTAGGGATCTTCTTCAGTTTGTGAAGCTCTCTCTCTCTTTTTAAAAAATATGATACTAGAACTAAGCATAATATTCTTGGTGTAGTCTGCTTAGTACGTGGTAAGATTTTCATCTTCCTTGTTCTGGATAGTGTATATTTATTAACATAAAACCTCCAATTCCATTAAATATATTTTTTGGTTGCTACATTTCAGTTTACTCCTTTGGGACTTGTAGAAAAATAAAGCCTTGGATCTTCTTCCCTTCAGCGTATTATTATATTTAAACTTAAAAACTTGTGTATTATAGGATTACAAAATTTAAAATGGATACATTTAGAGTAAGGATAAATGATTCTCAGTTAAAAAATCAATGACTATTTCAATAAGAATGTTCTCTGCATTTGATTTCCTTAGTCTTCCCCTGAGTATTAAGCAGCAATAAAAAAATTATTTATAGAAATATTAGAAAAAGACAAAATAACAGAATAATATAATACAATTGTTTTCATAGAATAACAATTATAAATCTAAAACAGCATAAAAAGTGTTAATTTAGAATCATGAGAGATATTGGTCTGTAGTTTTCTTGTAGCATCTTTGCCTCCTTTTGGTGTTAGGGTAATGCTGGCCTCAGAATGAGTTGGGATGTATGCTCTCTGCTTCTATCCTCTGAAAGAGATTGAAGAGAATTGGTATAATTTCTTCCTTAAATATTTGGTAGAATCCACCAGTGGACCTGTCTAGGCCTGGCAGTTTCTGTTTTGGAAGGTTATTAATTATTGATTGAATTTCTTTAATAGATAGAGGCCTATTCGGACCATCTGTTTCTTCGTGTGTGAGTTTGGCAGATTGAGTGTTTCAGGGAATTGATACATTTCATCTAGGTTATCAAATGTATGAGCACAGAGATTTTCAAAGTATTCATTTATTATCATTTTAATGTCTACGTGATTGTAGTGACGTCCCCTCCTTTATTTCCGATATTAGTAACCTGTGTCCTCTTTGGTTTTTTTTAGTTTGCATGGCTAGAGATTAACAGATTTTATTGATCTTTTCAAAGAACCAGCATTTGATTCTGTTGATTTTCTCTATTTAGTTCTTATTTTCAATTTCTGTTCTAATTCTTACTATTTCTTTTCTTCTGCTTATTTTGGATTTAATTTGCTCTTCTTTGTTTTCCTAAGGTGGAAACTTAGATTCTCATCTGTACTTTCAATGATATAAATGATGTAAACTGTATCTAGTTGATTGATGGTGTTATTGAGTCCAACTATGTCTTTACTGATTTTATGCCTGCTAGTCTGTCGATTTTTGAGAGGGGGTCTTGAAATCTCCAACTGTGGTAGTGCATTCATCTGCTTTTCCATGCAGTTCTATTAGTTTTTGCCTGATATAGTTTGCTGCTCTGCTGGGCGCATATACGTTAAGAATTGTTATGCCTTTTTGGAGAATTGACCCCTTTATCCTTAAGTAATTATCTTCTTTATGCCTGATAACTTTCCTTGCTTTAAAGTCGGCTCTGTATGAAATTAATATGACTAGTTTTGCTTTCTTTTGATTAGTGTTAGCATGGTATATTTTTCTCCATCCATTTACTTTTTAAAAATTTTTTATCGAGTTCATAATAGTTTCTATCAGTGTGAGATTTCAGTTGTACATTATTTCTTGACTGTCACCACATCAGTGCTCCCCTTCACCCTCTATGCCCACCCCCCACCCCACTTCCCCTGGTTACCACTGAACTGTTTTCTTTGTCCATGTGTTTGTTCATATTCTGCATATGAGTGAAATCATCTGGCGTTTGTCTTTCTCAGTCTGGCGTATTTCAGTTAGCATAATTCCCTCCAGGTCCTTCCATGTTGTTGCAAATGGGATGGATTTGTCTTGTTGGTGGCTGAGTAGTATTCCATTGTATATATATACCACATCTTCTTTATCCAATCAGTTGATGAGCACTTGGATTGTTTCCATGTCTTGGCTATTGTGAATAGTGCTGCAAAGAACATAGGGATGTATATGTTACTTTGGATTGTTGATTTCAAGTTGTTTGGGTAGATATCCAGTAGTGGGATAGCTGGGTCGTATGGTAGTTCTATTTTTAGTTTTTTGAGGAATCTCCATACTGTTTTCCATATTGGCTGCACCAGTTTGCATTCCCACCAGCAGTGTATGAGGGTTCCCTTTTCTCTACACCCTCCCCAACATTTCTTATTTTTAGTCTCAGTGATTATAGCCATTTTAACAGGCATAAGGTGGGATCTTAGTGTAATTTTGATTTGCATTTCCCTGATGATTAGTGATGTTGAACATCTTTTCATGTGTTTATTGGCCATCTGTATATCTTCTGTGGAAAAATGTCTCTTCATATCCTCTGCCCATCTTTTGATCAGGCTGTTCTTTTTTTTATTGTTCAGTTGTGTGAGTTCCTTATATATTATGGAGATTAACCCCTTGTCAGACATATTATTTGCAAATATTATCTCCTGATTGGTGGGTTGTCTCTTTGTTTTGATCCTAGTTTCTTTTGCCTTGCAGAAGCTCTTCAGTCTGTTGAACTCCAACTTGTTTCTATTTTTCTTTTGTTTCCCTTGTCTGAGAAGAGGTGGTATTTGATAAGATCCTTTTAAGTTTGATGTCAAAGAGTGTACTACCTATATTGTCTTCCAGGAGTTTTATGGTTTCAGGACTTCAAGTCTTTGATCCATTTTGCGTTTATTTTTGTATATGGCATGCGATAGTGGTCTACTTTTGTTCTTTTGCACGTGATTTTCCCAACACCATTTATTGAAGAGACTATCTTTTCTCCATTGTATGTTCTTGGCACCTTCGTGGAAGATGAGCTGTGCATAAATGTGCAGTTTTATTTCTGGGCTTTCAGTTCTCTTCCATTGATCTGTGTGCCTGTTTTTGTACCAGTACCATGCTGTTTTGATCACTATGGCTTTGTAGTACATTTTGAAGTCAGGGATTTTGATGCCTCCAGCTTTGTTCTTTTATTCTCAGGATTGCCTTAGCAATTTGGGGTCTTTGGTTGCCCCATATGAATTTTAGGATTCTTTGTTTTATTTCCATGAAGAATGTCATTGGGATTCTGATTGGGATTGCATTGAATCTGTAGATTGCTTTGGGTAGTATGGACATTTTAAGTATGTTTATTCTTCCAATCCATGTGCATAGAATCTCTTTCCATCTCTTTATGTCATTATCAATTTCTTTCAGTAACGTCTTATAGCTTTCATTGTATAAGTCTTGCTTGATTAAATTTATTCCTAGGTACTTTATTCTTTTAGTTGTGATTTTAAATGGAATTGTATTCTTGAGTTCTCTTTCTGTAAGTTCATTGTTGGAGTATAGAAAAGCAACTGATTTTTGTAACTTGATTCTGTACCCTGCAACTTTACTGTAGTTGTTAATTATTTCTGTTATTTTTCTGATGGATTCTTTGGGGTTTTCAACATATAAGATCATGTCATTTGCAAACAGTGAGAGTTTCACTTCTTCACTCCTTATTCGGATTCCCTTTATTCCTTTCTCTTGCCTAATTGCTCTGGCAAAAATCTCTAGTACTATGTTGAATAAGAGTGGTGATAGTGGGCATCCTTGTCTTGTTCCAGTTCTCATGGGGATGGCGCTCAGTTTTTGCCCATTGAGTATGATGTTGGCTGTGGGTTTGTCATATATGGCCTTTATTATGTTGAGGTAATTTACTTCTATCCCTATTTTGTTAAGAGTTTTTATCATAAATGCCTGTTGAATCTTGTCAAATGCTTTCTCTGGGTCAATTGAGATGATCATATGGTTTTTATTCCTCAATTCATTGATGTGGTATATCACATTGATTGATTTGCAGATGTTGAACCATCCCTGTGTCCCTGGTATAAATCCCACTTGATCATGATGTATGATCTTTTTGATGTATTGCTGAATTCGGTTTGCCAAAATTTTGTTGAGGATTTTTGTATCTAGGTTTATCAGTGATATTGACCTGTAGTTTTCCTTTTTCGTGTTGTCCTTGTCAGGCTTTGGTATCAGAGTGATGTTGGCCTCATAGAATGTGTTAGGAAGTGTTCCACCTTCCATAATTTTTTGGAATAGCTTGAGCAGGATAGGTATTAAATCCTCTCTGAAAGTTTGGTAGAATTCCCCAGGGAAGCCATCTGGTCCTGGGGTTTTATTCTTTGGCATGCTTTTGATTACTGTTTCAATCTCTTTCCTTGTGATTGGTCTATTCAGATTTGTCTGTTTCTTCTTGGTTCAGCTTTGGGAGGTTGTATGAGTCTAAGAATTTATCCATTTCCTCTAGCTTATCTATTTTGTTGGCATGAAATTTTTTTATAGTATTCTCTTATAATCCATTGTATTTCTGTGGTGTCCATTGTTATTTCTCCTCTTTCATTTCTAATTTTGTTTTTCTGAGGTTTCTCTCTCTGTCTTTTTTTGTCAGTCTGGCTAGGGGTTTGACAATTTTTCTTATCTTCTCAAAGAACCAGCTGTTCGTTTCATTGATCCTTTATACTGCCTTTTTTGTTTCAATAGCATTTATTTCTGCTCTGACTTTTATTCTTTGTCTCCTTCTGCTGACTTTGGGCT